TAAACTTGAACTTTCGATTATGTCAAATAGAATTTCCGATTCGGGAGCTCCCAAAGGATCGTACAAAACGAAAGTATGTTTCGATGTCCATCAAACAAAAAGTGGAATTGCTGCAAAAAATGGATAAAGACATGAAGAATGTCACAGAGAGGTTAGTGAAAACAAAAAAATTTTGATTGACAAGTTAGTTGGTATTCTCGGCACAGCAATTAACGGGACTTGAACAGCGGAACTTTGTAACTGAACAAAAAATTATGTCTGTTTATAGAATTAAAGAGAAAGTACTATCACATAAAACGAAGCAACTTAAACAACTTACATTGAAGAAATGTTAATAAAGTAAACAAATAAATATTAAGCTTTTTTTTTTTTTTTTTTTTTGTAAATTTTGATACCCTTTTAGATCATAATTGTTGTTTATTTCATAAATTATGGTTTCATATTTTTATTTTAGAATTTCTGCATGCCATCTTACGTGATTTAACTGATGATCTATAATCCGGAATCGCCGAAGTCCCGATGAGTCCGGATTAACGACTTTTGACTGTATATATCTAGTAAAAACAAATTTGTTCTCTCTTCAAGTGGCTTTGTGGATGGACAAGATTCAATAGAATTAAAAAAAAAAAAAAAAAAAAAAAAAAAAGAAAAAGAAAAAGAAAAGAAAAGAAAAGAAAGAGAGAAATGTCAAGTAAGGAAATGCAAAGGTAACAAAACTTAATATTTGCGACAACTGTAATAAATAGGTATGCGGATAATGTACACAAAAAATCAGAAAGATAAGTGTGTGTGCTAAATGCTGCGCTAATATATTATCTGTAAATAAAATATTTCTACATATTTCTATTTCTATGTACTCTTTATAGCAAAATGTTTGTTTTAAAGCATTTTTGGATTAAAAAGCACTTTTTTTGGAAAAATTTGTGTAAATATTTATACATTTTATTTTCTGTGTTTCTGAAATGCAAGATATCGAAAATGAAAGGAAAAAAAAAATTACATCTTCCGATGGAAATATTTAAACGCTTGTTCATTATTTGACTACATACCTACAAAGTCTCTATATTCTTTAAAATAAACTGCAGTAGTCATAATTTGTGTTATTTTAATTTCTTTTTCACAAATATATTATATCATATAGCAGATACCTTATCAAGGGGTCAAAATGACATCCGCCGTAATTCTAGGTATGTGAAGACCACCGAAATTCTAGTGTTAAAAAACTAATTTTCACCCTCATTTTTTCCAACTGACCAGTCTCACACGCTGGAAATAAAAGTCTGTATTATTTCGAAAAGTGTTGCCACTGCTCGCTTTCAAATCGTAGAGTTAGTTAATAAAGAATTTCCAAGTGTTACAATGAAATAAAAATAGCATTGCCAAACATTAAATACATTATTCCTGATCCCAAAAATTCTTGGGAAGCCATTTCGACTGTTCCCATTTTCGTACGACTTTAACCAGCCGAGATATTAATTAAAAACTCTGAATACACTAATTTTCACACTCTAATTTTCTGAATGGTAACAGTCTCGCATGGAGATAAAAATGCTTTGTTCTGAAAAGTACTGCTACTGCTCACTTTCAAATCACAGAGTTTGTTAATCAAAAATTTGTAATTTTTACAGAATCTATCTATATAAATTATATATGAAATAATAAAAGCAAGTAAAAGACAGAGCACTGATGATGTGTACTTAGATCCATATTGAAGAGGAAGAATTCCGATTATCCAATATACTAACATGCTGAGTTTGTGATATCTAAAAAAAAACTTGGCAGTTTTTATTTTCCAGTAGACGCTTGTGACAACAATTACTTGGTACTCTAGTCATGCCGTTTTACAGAATTTTTTTTTTTTTTTTTGATATTATAGCAACAGCAAGCAAGACAGCGAAGTTACATCCTAGTAGGGTAGAGAGCAAAGCTAAAGTGCATAGTTATGCAAGATAGAAGCACACAAAGAGAAAGGTTTTGGTTTGAGTTAAAACTTTCAATTCACAATTATTACATCATGAGCGCTGCACTGGCCATGTAAAAAGGAATGATCTGGAAATGATGCAATTCAGAGAAGCTATTACGATTTTTAGAACACAGAGGGAGAATTAAAAGGGGGAAAGAACAGAATCATCCACTGCTTCGCACTTTTCTCAAAATCGCCAACTTGAAAATAACAAGTCAAAGAATTGCACAAACTTGGTATCCATGTACACATTGACCTGTTTTCACTTAAAAATACATCAGAGATTTGCACAAACTTGGGATTGTGCACTCCCTAGACTTTGTCCACATACACATTAATACGCACCACGTAAGTGGGAGATTTTGCACTTTACCCAAAAGTTTTACCATTAGTTTAAATTATAATTTTGATTTATATATTTTTTATCTTACATAAAAAGAAGAATGTCTATTTGTGTCTTTGTTTCCGTTGTTGATTTCTGATCTTTTTTTGCCACACTTAATCGACTAAAATTGAATATAGGCGAAATACTGGATGGAACTTAAGCTTTTGGGACCATTTGATTAGAAAGACAAAAATCATTAAAAGCTATGTGTCACTGTTGCTGATATAATGTGAGAATTAGTTTATTTTTCTATCGAAATTTTTTATGTAGGTTCCATATCGCATCAGACTGAAAAATACTAACTGACTACAAAATACTATGTGTAGTATTTTTTCATTGTTATTAAAGGATTACAGCAATATCATTCTCTCTGTTGTATATACATTACTCTTAATCTAACTTAACTGGCATCGGGTACTTCCGCTAGTATATTACATTTGGTTCTGCCAATTGCAAAAAAAGGATGCAAAACTAATGTTACAACAGTTCCATATACAGAATTTCAAATGTTCTATAGCTTATCGTTTTTGAGCTATTACTTTAGTAAATAAGTTACACACACACACACACACATATATATATATATATGTATGTATATATAAATCTACATATATCACGAATATTTGCATATAAAGATATATACAGATATCATGAAAAAAAAATCCCTTTTCAATCCATTTTACGTCTTATTTTCAAAAAACCAATCCTTTATTCTGTCTGTATGTATAGACGAAATAAAGGATTGCACAGACACTATGTAAACAAATTGCCCAAATGGATTCAGGTACAGTCAAAATGAACCTTTCTGTTAAAATATAATACCCAGAATTTTTTGCAATTACAGTACTTCTTTTACTTTGGGGAAGGAAGTTAAAAGAATTAATTTTGAATATCATTTTAATTTTTAAATTCTTTAAAGTAAAATAATAAAACATAAGACTAAGTGACTACTTTAATGCTTAGATGCAGTTTTGTATTTTAGAACATTGCAGTCAGTACATACCATGAATTGCTTGGGTTAATCTTTGGATTATGGTAAAATGGCGATTTTTTAGCGAAACTTCGGCGACCAACTCTGCTAGTTTTTGTTTGGACGCCATTTTGTTTTCACGAAGTAAAGGCATTTTTTTTCTTTTTTTTACTCAACATTTTCCCCAACAATCTGCTAGCCGAATTACGCTTATACTAGAACTTTTATGGAACAAAAATGCTTAATCATGACAAAGATTAGGTGCAAAATTGGGAGAAAGTGCAGAATCGCCGACTGCTTGCCGCGTTTTTAAGAATTGCACATAAACCGTATCATACATGTACACGTCGACCTATTTTGACTTAAAAAAAATCCCAGAATTGCACAAAAATGGCATTGCGCACACTCTTGACTTTATCCATGCACACTGCTAAAGTCCTAGCTAGTAACCTTTATCGCCTTACCAAAATGTCGCCAAACTAGCTGTTACCATATTCCAAAGAACAGCCATTGCTTGTTTTCCTCTCTAAAATGTGATTCATCATTAATTTACACAATTTGTTACACATTTATAACCAATGTGTTACTATCAAAAACTACTGAAAAATATTATTGTTAATTTATAAAGATGATGTTTCATCATCATCTTTATGTTTGTCATAAAGATGATGAATAAATTCATGAAAGCATTTTGATTAGTTGAACCTATAAAAAAGATAAATGCTTCAGATTTGACAATTCAAAATAATGTTCTCTTTTTGAACCAAATATGTTTTACTTTTAGATGCTTTAAAAGTTGGAGATTTTTATACCTTTAACTACCCATCTTTGCACAATTCCAAACGGATTCATGCAAATTCTGAAAGGTAAAAAAAGAAACATTATTGGATAATAAAAATTAAGTATTTTTGGTAATCTTAACAGAAGAGTGTGTATTTGCACACATATATACATTTTTGAATTGGGTCCTGATAACAGAAGATTACTATATTATTTGATCTTATTTCGGACCTATTTTTCACCAGAATAATACAGGCCAAATTTTAAACTACATACAAAAACTAACAATATTCTAAATGAATTTAAATGTTGGATTTATAACTAATATATTCAATGGACACATATTTTATTACTATGTGCTACTTTGGTAGATGGTTGCACGGATTTTGGCGAGCGATAAGACTTATGGTAAACCCATTACCAACAATTGCACCAAAGTAAATAGCCAAAAATCCGCGCAACCATCTACCAAAGTAGCACCAACCTTACTATGTATTACCCTGTAATAGGTACCTTAAACAAGAATACAAATTACGAGTACTTTGTAATTGGTGGTCAATATGTTAAAGACGCACTCTGCCATGAAAATTAAAGAAAACCTTTTTCAACAGAAATTGGCACGATGAATAAAAATTTTCACTGGACTTATTTTGGAGGCTAAATGCATTTTGTTGTATGGTAACTGAGAATATAAACACATCCAATTCATTCATAAAAGCAACTTTTGTTGTGAAAAAATTATTTACCTTACGAGCACAGTTTTTTTTTCTTAAGACATTTTACAAACTATTTATTTATTTATTTCTAGTAATTGATTTTTCAAATGAAATTTAAATTAAACAGTAAATAAACAATCATATAGGGTACATTAAAATAATTTATGTCTTATCCAATGAAGGAAATATTTTCTTAAATGAATTTATTTAACAGCATACACACTGTAATTTACTAACAATAAAATTATGCACTTAATACTCAAAATCAAAGTCAAAATAAGGTGGATCAAAAACATGGACTCGCACATAACCGTCTTCACCACCACTGCTATAACTCTTACCATCTGGGTGAAAAGCCACACTGTTTATAGGTCCAAAATGATCTTTGACTCTTGCAAATTCTTCTTCAAACACTAAATGGAAAAAACGGGCATCAAATTTTCCTACTCTGGCAGAAGTCGTGGTCACATCCATCGCTTCTTGGCCACCACCAAGTACCACATGATCTCTAATGGGAGATATTGCAGCAGAATTTACTGGTCGCTCAGTCTTGTATGTTTTCATCAAGTCCATGGTCTTTGTATCAAATAGTTTAGCAGTATGATCCTTGGAAGCAGTAATAAACATTGTTTGATCTTTGTAGTACTGGATATCATTGATAACATCTCGATGGTCCTGTTTTGAAGCAATTTTCTGCATGGTCTTAATATCCCATTTTGCCAGAGCTCCATTATCTAAACCAGTAAGTAGAAAATCATCAAATGGGCCCCAAACGGCGCTAGTTACTTTATGTCCAGTAACAGGAATGGAGACAATTTGACCACTGCTACTCATCTGAGATGGATCAAGGGTATCGACGACTTTTATCTCACATTGTTTTCCCATGGATCGATCGGTGGTGTACATTAAGAGTTTACCTGAATACGAGAAACCACATGTACGAACTGATGTATCTGTATCAATCATCGTCAAACAAGTTCCGGTCTCAAGATCCCAAAACCCGCATTTTGCATCAGCAGCACCAGTTACAACTTTCGTTGACTCCCAGTTAACATCTATACACCACACAGCACCATTGTGACCATCAAAAGTACCAAGCCTCTCACCGTTGATAGAGTACCATACGTTCGGGGTAGGGTCTTTTGAACAGGAAAACAGAAGGTCACCTTCTCGATTATATTTAATCTGCGTTATGGCTCGCTCGTGGCCATGAAGCATAAGAGGCCGCATTTTCAGTTACTGTGCTAAACAATTTTTTAACAAATACAACGTAAACGTGACAAATAAACGCTTTTAGCCAGTCACGGTTAAGACAAGTAGAAGGATGTCTTGTTTTGCATCAAATAAATCGTTTTGCCCGTAGGACGAAAACTTAAGCGCGAGGGAAAGGTAAATAGAACAAGTTTTGTTTTGTTTTGGGGGGAAGGCAAATTCGTAGCATTTTATATGAATATTTTTTTTTTTAAATTTTTTTTTAAAGATCAGATAAAATGTTGGATTGTGGGTTTGAGTTAGAGAGAGTAGAAAGGGATGTGCGAAGTAATCTAACTATAAAGGTTAAAAATTGATGTCAGGTGGGGCATAAAAGGAAAATATTTTTTTTTTATGAAATGCTTCTAATGTGTCATATTTTAAATTATTTCCTACAGATAAAATTTCTTTTAAAATAATATAGTATTGAATAAAACACTAGTGTGGCGATATCGTTCGCGTTAACGATGCGCCATCTGTGGAACTTCTCGCATGCAATTTTCTTTTCGCCAGAATGGCAACATAAAGCAACAGAGAAGAAAAAGAACGATGACTGATTTTTGTCTGTGTCTATATCTAAAAAATGTAAACAAATATTAATTTTATTGAAGTAAGAGTAATTTTTATCATTTCCTATGTTCAAGACAATTACACTGGTTTACCCGGATGCGATTAAATTCAACTTATAAAGTGTCTGATGAAAAAAGAACGTATGATGTTTCTGTAATTTTACGAGATGTCACTGACATTATAAGCACTTTATAAATAGTCACCTGTTACCGAATAAATGTTACGGACAGCGTCGTAAGAAGCTACTTACCCATTTTTAAAGTTCCGCAATTTTTTTCCTGAGTTTGACAGTGGATTGAGTGATAGTTTCGATTTCGAAGTGCTTCTGGTGAAATGTAAATTCCGAGCGTACGTTGGACTGAAATACTTCTAAAATGCTAAGTCAACTTTAAAAATTTTAATTTTGTTCTATATTGCAGTATAACTTCAGCCGGAAAAGCTATAAAAATATAAAATTAAGTAAAGGTAGCTGTATTTCCGTTAAGCCTAATTCTGCTATGGCCGAAGGAGATGAAAGTAAAGAAGCCGAAACTAATGCAACATCTGCGAATGTCGCCAAGGTCAGCATCAAAATTCCTACTTTTTGGAAACCTGGCCCCAAAATATGGTTTCTTCAGATTGAAGCCCAATTCCGAAACGCTGGAATTACGGCTGATCAAACAAAATACGGTTATGTAGTCAGTTCTATTGAAACAGGGACATTGTCACAAATCTCTGATATTTTCACCAAACCACCAGACAACGGCAAATATCCGGCCATTAAAAAAGGCTGATTGAAGTTTTTGCAGACTCTGAAACACAGAAAATCCGAAAACTTCTAACCGAATTAGAACTGGGTGATTAGAAACCATCCCAACTTCTGTGCGAAATGCGTAACTTGGCGGCTGAGTAAGTGCCAGATGAATTTTTAAAAACTTTGTGGATGCAACGACTACCACTTAGATATGCGGAGCATTTTATCTGTAAGCAGTGATGATTTGTCCAAATTGTCTACAATGGTTGACAAAATATGAGAATTAAATCCCAATCTATCCCAGGTAGCTTGCATTGTTTCTCCCCCATCTGATAACATTACCCCAAAGATTTACAGAAGCAGATATCAAACTTGAGACTGCAGATAGCAGAAATGAATACGCGTAGAAATTCTAGTCCACAAAGACGACGATACAGGTCGAATTCTAGAAATCGTTTCAAAATAGCAATGACCCAAAGTAATTGTTATTTTCATCAACGCTTTGGTGAGAGAGCGTACAAGTGCACCCACCATGTAAATACCAGGTATCGAAACAGGAAAACTGATTCCCCGGCCTTCGATGACGATAGAAAGTCAAGGGGTACAGCTGAGTCGTCTATATATTCGTGACAACGCATCAGCAAACCATTTTTTAATTGACACTGGAGCAGAAATATCGGTTATCCCACCATCACCATCGGAAAAAAGAACTGTGGCTAAGCTTGAGTTATTCGCAGCTAACGGTACAACAATCAAAACATACGGTCAAAAATTATTGCAGCTCGATTTAGGGCTACGCAGATCTTTCATATGTCTTTTTATCATTGTGGACGTTAATAAACCTATCGTGGGAATAGACTTTCTTTCACATTTTAATTTGTTAGTCGATAGTAAAAACAGGAAATTAATCGATGGCACCAGCTTATTAACGGCTAAAGGTACTTTGTGTAACAATAGCGCCACTCCTAAGTTCATTGCTAATATTTTTCAAAACCCATATAGAGCCATCCTAAACAAATTTCCTGACTTACTTAAACCCAACATTAAAAACAGTAAAATTAAAGAACATGATGTGCAACATTACATCGAAACCAAAGGTAACCCTGTATCCTTTAAAGTCAGAAGACTTTCACAAGAAAAATTGATTGCCACGAAAGAGGAATTTGGTTATACGTTGCAAGAAGGTCTCTGCAAACCATCGAAAAGCAGCTGGTCAAGTCCATTACACCTCACTTTAAAAAAATCCGGTGACTGGAGACTATGTGACGATTACCGTGGCCTTAATACAAATACTGTACCAGACCGTTACCCACTACCATTTCTAACTGACTGTACTCACATTCTGCACGGAAAAACGATTTTTTCAACCATATATTTATTAAGAGTATACCAACAGATTCCTGTTCATGAAACTGATATTCCGAAGACAGCAATCATAACACCTTTCGGACTTTTTGAATTTCCTTACATGACATTTGGCTTACGCAATGCTGCACAAACATTCGACACGCTATCGAGAATCGACACCATCGCTATCCCAGCTCCAATTGATTATGCAGTTATAGCAGATTGTCAGGAGGATGAAGACCTCAGGATTCTCAAATCAAATTCCAGTTTCAAAATAGTACTAATTCCTATTCCGGATAGCAATAAGAAAATTTACTGTGATACCCCCACTAATTTCAACAGGCCATACATTCCTAAAGAATTTCGCGAACAAGAATTCTTTCTATACATAACTTATCCCATCTTGGGATTCGTGCAACAACGAAGCTGGTTGACAAAAAGATTCATTTGGCCTGGCATAAACAAAGACTGTCAGATGTGGTCTAGAGCATGTTTGCAATGCCAACGAGCCAAAATTCACAAACTACCCATGCTCCGCTGCTGAATTCAAAGTTCCCAATCAACGTTTCAAGCACCTTAATATCGATATCGTTGGGCCTTTACCATCTTGCAAAGGTTTTAGGTACAGTCGGTCACAAAAGTATTCGAACACCGGTACCCTATCAGAAAATGACAAGATGGCGTTTTTTTTCTCTTTTCCTCTGTGTGTCGTGTTATTCCATCCTAGGTTTTCTTCTCCCCCCCCATCTTGGAAAAAACTGGAAAAAATTGGTTACGATCTCTTTTTGAATGGGGAGATGCCATTTTGAGAAAAAGCTGACGACCCTATCTTGGAGAATGAACATGACCGCTCTACACACCCTTTTACTCTCTCTCTCTCTCTCTTTTTTGAATTGGGAAGCCATTTTGGGAAAAAGCAGACGACCCTATCTTGGAGAATGGAAATGAACGCCTCTCCCTCTCTCTTTGAAATGGAAAGCCATTTTGGGACCCTCTATTCTTGGGGAGGGAGAAAACTGAAGTCTGCATTTCGCTGTCTCTGAATGCGGAAAGCCCATTTTGGGAAAAGCGGACCCTCTTCTTCTGATCTTGGAGAACTGGAAATGAACGCTCTACACGATCTCTCTTTGAATTCAGAAGGTATTTGGGACCTTCTAATGTTGGAAAAACTGAAATGAACGCTCTACGCATTTCTCTCTCTCTCTCCTCTTTGAGATGATAGCCATTTTGGAGGATTCTCCACCAACATCCTAACCTTGGAAAACTGAAATGAACGCTCTACACACTCTCTCTCTCTCTCTCTTTCTCTGAAATGGGTAGTCATTTGAAAACTCCCTAACTTTGGAAAAAAACAGAAATGAACGCTCTACACCATCTCTCTTTGAAAATGGGGGGTGTCATTTTGAGACCTCCCTCCCCTAAACTTGGGAAAAAAAACTGAAATGAACGCTCTACACTTTCTCTCTTTGGACATGGGTAGCCCTTTGGGGACCCTCTCCTCTTGGTATATAAAAAAAAGAACTGAAGTGAAGGCTCTACACAATCTCTCTTGGAATGGGATCCATATTTCGGGAAACGTGGATCACCTCATGCTGGAAAACTGAAGTGAACCACCAAGATTGGACTCTATATAATATTTTTTTTAATTGACATCATGACCCTCCTCCCATTTGTTATTAAAAAATTGTTTTTTTTGTTTTGGTTTTTATCCCATTTCCGATGTGATTTCAGAAATGCAATTCCATAACAGTTCAATTTCATTCGAGGTTAAATGATCTAAACAGTCTTTGACCCACCCATCCGTATGATTATTTTCTTCTCCTTCCTGTTGCACCAAATTTTGTAAGTCCATATAATCATTCCATACGGGAAGGGCTGGATCCTCACAAGGCTGTCTTGAAACACTTGGAGTCTCTTTGGGATGAGTGGAGGGATCTAGGATGTCTGGACCCGGCTGCGATTCTACCTCCATGATTTCTGGACCCGTTGGAACTTGTGGACCTGGCTGAGAAATTCTGCCTCCATGATCTCTGGATTCGTTGGAACTTGTGGACCTGGCTGAGATTCTGCCTCCATTGATTTCTGGACCCGTTGGAACTTGTGAACCCGGCTGACATTCTACTCTATACGATTGTCTGGACCTTTTTGAAGCTTGTGGACCCGGTCTGAACATTCTACCTCTACGATGTCGGGACAGGTTGGAGAAGAAGAAGAAGAAGAGGATACTGGAAGAGGTTCTGGACACGTCTGTGAGGAGTCCGAAAGAGGTTGCCTGTTTGAAAAAGTCGGGGAAGAAGAAGAAGAAGAAGAAGCTTCTGGATTCTGAAGCGGATCTTGCACGCCAGGTAGGTTCCGGTAAGTCGACCGTTTTTTAAGAGGTAATTTTTTTTCTTCCTCCTCATCTTCAATTGTG